ATATATAATTCTCTGTATAAAAATCTAAGAATGGAGTTACCAGCTCATAGATTATTTGTATCTTGAGCAACATAGTTTTTCAAAATGTCTGTATCAATTTATACTCCCAATAGCAATGTATCAGAGTATCATTTCTCCACATTTTTACCAATACTTGGTATACTCAGTCTTTTAAATTTTGCTATTCTATGGCTATATCATTTTGTCATCTTTTCATTGTGTCATTTTAGAGTAAATCTTCAAATCTGATTGTGTAAGCCTTTCAACTTTGTTCTTTTTTAGGATTGTCTTGGCTATTCTAGGCTGTGATATGTCATTGTAATTTTATTTTGCATTTTCTTAATGACATGATATTGTGTATCTTCTTGCATGCTATATGAGAAATCTTTTGTAAATTGCCTGTTTCAGTGTTCTGCCCATTTTTTATTGTGTATGTATTTCTTTTTTTATTGATTTGAAGTAGTTTTTTGTGTTTTTCAAATATGATTTTTTTATATATAGGTACAGATATACATACATATATAGCTAATATTTTCTCCAGATACCTTTTGTTAAACAGAAGCTTTTAATTTTAATAAAGTCAGATATATTTTTGGTCTTTTTTTGTTTCCTGTTTAAGAAATATTTGTGTACTTAACTGTGTGTGCTTCCTGAAATATATTTTCTTTCAGATGATCTATTGTTTTAGTTGTCACATTTAAGTATATGTGCTACCATTAATGAAATTTTGTGTATGGAGTAAACTGGGGTAAAAACTCATTTTTCTGGTACTATTCATTTTGATCCGGCAACTACTTATTGAGCAAAACACCCTTTCTCCTACTGAATTGCAGTGGTTCTGGTTCCTTTTTTTGTAAATAAAGCGATTACATACATTTGAGTCTCTTTCTGGACTCTCTATTTTGTTTCTCTTTTCTTTCTTCTTGTCCTCCTTTTTTTTTTTTTAATAATTATTAGGAATTTGTAGTAAGTCTTTATTTCTGGTAGTGTAAATCCTCCACAATTGTTCTTTTTGAAAATTGTCTTAATTACTTTAGGTCCTTTACACTTCCATACCAATTTTAGAGTCAGCTCATCAATTACCATAAAAAAATGTCTAATGTGATCATAAATGGAATTGTTCTTGGCTAATCCCCAAACTTAATATATATTTTCCTTTATTTAGATCTTTGCTTTCAGCAATAATGTGTAGTTTTCAGTTTAGAGGTTTATCTTTGTTAGAACCATTATAAGGATATTGATATTTTTTGCTTGATAATATTACAAATAGCTTCATTTTCAAATTATTATTAATATAATTGGTTTTCTATATTGACTCAGTATCTAGTAACCTTGATAAATTCACTTATTTTTTTAAGATCCTATTTATTTATCTTAGAGAGAGAGCATGAGCTGGGGGGAGGGGCAGAGGGAGAGGGAGAGAGAGAATCTCCAGCAGACTCTGAGCTGAGCACTGAGATCGAGGTGGGGGCTCGAAACCCCCAACCAGTGATCCCCTGACCTGAAATCAAGAGTCAGACGCTTAACTGACTGAGCTGCCAGGCCCCAGTAAATTCACTTATTAACTCTAATAATTTGTACATTCTTTTGGTTTTCCTAATGTACATAATTATATTATTTATTCATACAGAGAGTTCTGCTTTTTTTCTTAGCTTTGTTGAGATATAATTGACGTATAACCATGTATAAGTTTAAGGTGTTTAAACATGTCGATTTTGCACACTTAAATACTGTGAAATTATTACCACCAAAGTGTTAGCTAACACTTCCATCACTTCACATAATTACTGTTTATTCTTTGTGGGAAGAACATTTAAGATCTCCTCTCTTAACAACTTTTAAGTATTAATACAGAATTGTTACTTTTTATCTTCCAATTGTTATAAAATTGTTACTTTGTCCTGTCTTACTGCACTTGTTAGAACTTTCAGTACTATATGAAATACTAGTGGTAATTACTGATAATCTTATTTTACCTGTAACTTCATGGGGAAAGTACTCAGTATTTCATTATTAACCATGATGTTGGCTGAAGGATGTTCCTGTCTACTCCTAGTATGCTGAGAGTCTTCTTTATTTTCTCCCTTTCTTCTTCCCTCCCTCCCTATCTCTCTTCTTTCCTTTTCTCTTTCTTTCCTTCTCTCCTCTTCTTTTTCTTTCTTTCCCTGCCTCCCTCCCTTCCTTCCTTCTCTCTCTTCTTTTTTTCTTCCTTTCTTTTTTCTTTTTTCCCCTCTTTTTCTTTATTCCTTCCTGTTGAATTGACTTTTTAGATTATGAGCTACCCTTCTTTTTCTCAGAATATGTATTTTTTCAAGTCTATTTTGGGGGCTTCTGGGTGGCTCAGTCAGTTAAGCATCTGTCTTCAGCTCAGGTTATGATCCTGATGTCCTTGGATGGAGTATAGGGCTCCCTACTCAGTGGGGAGCCTGCTTCTCCCTCTCCGTCTGCCTGCTGCTGCTCTCCCTACTTGTGCTCTCTCTTCCTCTGTCATATAAATAAATAAAATCTTTAAAAAATAAAATAAATTCTACTTGTTTGAAATTAACATAGCTATATTGGTTCTCCTTTGCTAGTCTTTGCATTGTTCATTTTCTTTCCCTTCCCCCACCCTTGATCTTTTTGCTTCTTGGTATTTAAAGGGGTCTCTTATAATGGGTTTTTTTATTATCTAGTCTGACAATCTTTGTTTTCAATCACAGTATTAATGTCATTTATGTGTAATGTAATTACTGATATCGTTGGGTTAAAGTGACTATTTGTTTCCGATCTAGTCTACCTACTCTTTGTCTTTTTCTTCACCTAACGTTATGTCATAGACTGCCCCATATTTCTGCATCGACTTCATACATTTTCTTTTTAATGGTGCCACCTTGGCCATTGTTTTGATATTTCACATCTTGCTGAGCTATTAGCTATCATTTGGTTCTTCCAGTAACTTTGCTATTACAGCTAATACTGCCCTGAACACTACTATGCACATTACTTTCTACTTTGTGTATCAGTTCCTTACAGTGTATTTACAAGTGTGGAATTACTGATTCAAGAGATAGAAACATCTTTATAAATCTTGATATAATTTGTCACCTTGCTTTCTCTAAAGAATTATTCCAATTTATAAGGTTATTAACAGTATGTAGTTGTAGTGATTTTATTGCCATCTTGCTGGCATTGTCAGTTCCTTTTTTTAAAATAAAAAATGTTGTATAGAAAAGAACTGAAGGGGTACCAGAATTATGACTACCAATGTCATCATTGTATGTAAGTTAACAACAACAACAAAAAGGGTAGGACATTTGAGATCTGCTTTGTCAGCTACAAGCTGACCTAAAATTCCAAACCATTCTGCTTCAATTTTGAACACTTTGACAATAAGCTCCATGAATAACTTAATAAAATAATGCAAATTTATGACATAATATGTGAACTGGCATATGCAGTTTATTGGAGTCTAATACAACTATCATTCACAAATAAAACTAAAGCAGGTTTATAGAATCAGAAGGTAGGTAGGAAGACAGAAAGGAGACCCAACTGAAAATATGCTTAGAAGTAGAGTGAACACATTTTTAAGTTACATTTAAACCTCATCATGAATAATCTCAAAATAGAGGGGCTGCATCAGTAAACTTAATGAACATTTTTTCCCAGGTGGATGATAATACTGAGGATCACTGGAAAGGAACTCTTAAAATTGTAATTACTTTGCAGAGCACTTAAGGAGATATTATCTCATTTGAGCACAAGTACCCTGTAAGGCACGTATTTCTAATTGTTTTGTAAAGGAATACATGAGGATTCCCTAGAGGTGATATGATTTACCTAAGGTCACATAGCTGATAACTAGTAGAGCAGTGACTCAAATTTACATCTTTGCTACCTGTGACCTTCCCATTACGTTTAAGGATTACTTTCAACAACTGTTATTACAATTTTAATCTACCACAGAGTTCTTTACTAGAAACAATTAATGAAAATGACCATATTGAAGATGAAAACTTTTCCAAAATATTAAGCCAAGAGATTAATTATAACATGATCTAAACTGGCATAAGATTCAGGAGATTCTGTCATTAAAAACGGTATAGAAACTCAGCAAAAACCTGTTTTCTTGACATTACATTTCTGTGATCTGGACACAGGAGTTCAGAATCTTAGGGAAAGAACACATAAAAATAACAGCAGAGCCTAAAATAATAGTATAGTAATGATATAATTCATAATCAGCATCCCTCTGAGTCATCCAAATACAATAAAAGTCTAGTTTTTGAAATTTAAAAACCGATGCTATGAAACCTCATTGTGGAAGACGGAAAATAGAAATTGGCTTGAAATAAAGGAATCTATTGTTTTTGGCTATGTGTTCCGCCTAAAACCACATTTCAAAGACTTCACTCCATTCAGGTTCATATCAACTACCCTACTAAAAGTAGAACTACTTCAGCATGTTACTGCCAGGGTAAATTCCTATGAGCAATCTTTTAAAAGTCTTTCATGTCCACAGATAATCTCTTGATTCATATCATCCTACCGTTTGTATCATCCTCCTCCAGTAAATTTACATTAATATATATTTTTAAAACCTTATACCTGAAAAAAGTAAAACTGCTCCAAAACCAGTTTTAGGGTGACTCTTGACTAGAAGAAGCCTTGAGAGGCTTTTCAAGAAGCCTCGAAACGTCTCCGGAAGGACAGGAACAGTGCCTGGGCCGTAATGGGGTGCCTGTCAAGGTGACTCTTGAGGTGTTTAGAACCAAATAAGTCTGCCCATTCCTTGCTCCTCCTGCCTCATGTTTTAGTTTCATATGCCAGGGTAGCAAAATGAGTCCTTCTTTTTTTATGATATCAGCTGACAGCTGTAAGCAATCAATCTAATTCAACTGACTGAAACCAGATTTCCCTCCCAACTAATATTGCTGCCTCTAACACTTGTGTTTCTTGGAACAAAGTGATGTGTTTATGTGAAAAAAGAAAAATAGAGTCATGTTTTATTTACATTCCAGGAGGTGTTTGGTTACCGGACCCAGAATCTCCGCAGAGCTCTCTGCCTTATAGCCTCCGTGCTTACCTGTGGGGTTCTTCTGCTTGTGTTCTACTGGAAGCCACAGTGGAGGGTGTGGGCCAACTGCATCCCATGCCCTTTGCAAGAAGCAGACACTGTTTTGCTAAAAACAACGGTGAGTGCCCTTCAGCATTGCATTGGTGGCACAACTAATGACTGGCCGGCATTCCAGAGTAGACCTTTCTTTACTTAAGCTTCCTTGTCCCCAAATAGGAGATGGCAAACTGTCCCTGAACCTACTTGCCATCTCTTATTTTGACTCAGGAAAGAAATGCCCTCCATGTCACCCTGGGGAAGTTTCTACCATGTCAGGCTAATTGTCAATGATTTAGCCATTATACGAGCTAGGGCTGTCACTATTATAACTCTTAAAGACAAAACTCATACAATCTTAGAACTCTTAAACACAGAAAGAATAGTTCAGTTTGCTGTTTTTTTTTTTTTTAAGATTTTATTTATTTATTTGACAGAGATAGAGCACACAAGCAGAGGGAGCAGAAGACAGAGGGAGAGGGAGAAGCAGCCTCCTTCTGAGCAGGGAGCATACTGTGGGACTCGATCCCAGGGCCCTGGGATCATGACCTGAGCCGAAGGCAGACACTTAACCGACTGAGCCACCCAGGTGCCCCAATAGTTCAGTTTTTAAGAATACATATTCTGAGGGGAAAGAAGACAGTTGAAACAGTTGAAACACCTATATGTCACTTTTAAGATAGCCAGAAAATGTTTTCTGGATATAAAACTCTCCAGTAAAGTGTGTCTTTCTCTGTATTCTCTAGCACAGTGGTTCTCAAATTTTAATGCAAATCAGTGACCTGGAGGGCTCCTTAAAACAGACTGCTGACCTCATCCCAGAATTTCTGATTCAGTAGGCTTGTGGTGGGGTTGAGGATTTGCATTTCTAGCAAGTTCCAATATAATGCTGAGGCTCTTGGTAACCATTAGTCTAGGTAGGTATTTTGTTGATTGTCTTATTAAATACATGACATTTGAAAATTTCATGGGCTGGATTGTCTTCTCTAGGATGAATTTCAAAGATATATGAGGAAGAAAGTTATATACCTCTACTTATCCACACTAAAGTTCCCCATAAGCAAGAATCCAGAAGAACCCGTGGTGGCTGACCACCACTCTGTCATTAACAAAGCCGTATTGAAGCCAGAATTAAAAGTAAGTAATTTTGAGTGCAATGTTATGGCATGTTTTTTAAAAAAAGAATAATGCAAATGTTTGTTGGATGGAAGTTCTGAATGTCACAGTGCTGGGCTGGGAATTGCAAGGTATCAAGGCAAGTGCACATGGCATTGGGACTTGGACCTCACTAACACCATGGGCTTTATTTTGTCCTATCACATTTGTAATTGCAGCTGCGATGTATCCAAGTGCAGAAAATCAGGTACGTTTGGGACTACTTGGAGAAGAGGTTTCAGAAAGTTGGGTAAGTTTGACTTTTTCTCAACATTCACCAGGGTATAAAGGAAAAGCACTGATATGTTGAATGCCATGAACTGAAGCATGCTTCTTGTCCTGACCACATCCTAGGCTACTGGAAGACAGCAACTCCTGCCACGACATCCATCACACATTTGGATTGGGCCTGACCAGCGAAGAACAAGAGGTCAGGTAGGGTTTGTGACACTCCCTGAGATAAACTCTGCCAGCAAAAAGTGAGATATCAAATGGCTTATGATCAGTGGACTGTTGACATAATGTTTCATCAGCCTCCTATAATCCCAGTTTATCTACCAGCAACAAAGATATACTTTAAGTTGTTCTCATCTTAGGCAAACTTATTAAAAAGAAAAGCCAATCAAATAATATTTGATTTTTCCCCTCTCAGGACTGCAAAACAGTCTCCTTTTTGTTGTCTTTTTTTATTCTTTCCTCAAAAAAATCTTGAGTCATTTCATAGATATCTGCTTCCTCATCCTTCAAATCCTCTGAGAGAAAGAAAGATAATACTATGACTGCATTTTCCTGTGAAGAAACAGCCTAGAGATGAGGATTTTGTTTGCTCAGGTAGTTGTGTCATTCACCATTGTATTGTCATTCATCATTGTATCCAGGCACCTGGAACAGTGCCTGATTCATGGTAGAAGTTTGATAGGTATTTACAGAATGAATGAATATAGTAATATATTTGTTGACCTATGAACTGAATGTCTCCTGCTATGCTAGGCACTTTGGAAGGAACTAGGGATCTAAGGATAAATAAGGCTTAGTCATTGCTCCAGAGGCATTCATCAACTATTGGGAAAGAGAGACAAAGAACAGTGGTATAATTGTCAGAATGAGATCTATAAGTGCACATAGATTAGGACATAATAGTGTAATAATAGTATAGAAATGCTTATGCTGCTCATTAACCCATGGAGATTTCGAGTTCCTGGTTCCCTCATCTGTCATCTGAAATGGTGAATCCTGATGAGTCTGAAAGTAAACCATCGCAAGCCTTCCCCAGAATCTTAATAATCACCTTCATTTCTTGCCCATTTTAAGGACATTTCCTGCCTGCCCTTCTTCCAGTCCATCAGAAACACAAATTCTCGGGGCGCCTGGGTGGCTCAGTGGGTTAAGCCTTTGCCTTCGGCTCAGGTCATGATCTCGGGGTCCTGGGATCGAGCCCCGCATTGGGCTCTCTGCTCAGCAGGGAGCCTGCTTCCTCCTCTCTGCCTGCCTCTCTGCCTACTTGTGATCTCTCTCTCTCTCTCTCTCTCTCTGTCAAATAAATAAATAATCTTTAAAAAAAAAAAAAGAAACACAAATTCTCAAGCTAAGAAGCAATCTGGTACTTAAAATACAGGTTCTTGGGCCCACCCCCATAATTTTGATCTAGTAGGAGTTAAGGGTGGTGGTAAGAGCAGAAAATGCACTTTTAGCAGCCCCAAGATTCATACACATACCAACTCTAAGAATTACCTATCTGCTGTTGTTTTTAAACTTTTCATACTGCCTGAACATGTTGAAAAATGAACAAGGCATCTAGATTCTGGCAATATTTGCAAAATGCCTTAGAAAGAATATCATTATATAAGATTTCAGATGCAATGCTTAATACTCTGAAACACAAAATATTTTCAAAGTCATTGAAAACATACTGGTTTAATAGCATTAAGTACCAGGTATGCAAAGAGTTGATCTAATTAGGAAATTTAATTGATTATCACAGATATACTTTGCCTTTGCCTAGGACACCATTTCCATAGGAAAGATTGCCCATCAATGTAGCTACCTCATGTTTGTCCTTATTTATCAAGTGCCAAGCTTTAATAAACATTTAAAAAACATCATACATAATTCAATTTAAATCTGGCCCATGCAGTAAAGAACTTGACAATCTAATAAGCAAGACAAAGAGTCATATATATATATATATATATATACACACACATATATGTATATATATAATAGTTTCCCAGATATGAAGAATAGAGGAGATAATGTCCTTATAAATATATAGGCAGATTTTATTTATGGCCTTTTTAAATTGGACAGTAAAGCAAGTAAATAGAATGTAAACTATTTTCCCCCTTAATTTTTTAGTGTAAGACTAGGGCTTTTTTTTTTTTCAAAAATTAAATGTGATCGATTCATTTGTTGGTTGTGTGATATTAGATTAATTTCCCGAATGGATATAAGCTTGCCTTTATGAAAAGCAAGGATGCAATATGAGCAGTAAAGGAAGAAGAATCACAAAATTCTCTGATAACAAAAAGCCACGAAGTCTAAATACAACATTCTCTTTAGGCTTCCTTGCCACCAGGCAATGATGGAAAATGCACACATCTCTGCAGCAAAAAGGCAACTCGGGACATCAGGAGAATAACATTGTCCTGAAGAGAACTTTTCAGAGGGTCTCAGGGAAGAAAAATGTACTAGGAGGTCCCCTGCTCCTATCTCTATTCATTCATGAACTGGAGGCCTGGGAACTTTTTTTTAATTCTACGAGCCTGCTCCCTGAAAATTCTAAAGTTCACTGAAGTGGGTCATGCCAGAACCCCCTGGATTAGCCTTAACTATTTAGGAAACTTCAGATCTCCCTTCCTGCCAAGGACTTCTTTGGTGGCTTATCAGAATGGAATCAGAGTGGACATGTGTGGTTTGAAAAAGGTCACTAGTGATTCTGACACAGTCCTACCTCCTTGAGGACCCCGACTCTAGCTAGGATTCACCATCTGGAGCCTCACACATATTCACCATAATTATTTGGTGAATAAATTGAAAAATGAATGAATGAACAAACAATAAAATTGAAAACAGACATAGACCATCCCAAAAGAAAGTATTTCTAGTCACTTATATTTGGTTTTTCAGAAATAAATACATCGCAGTAGATTTACTATTATGGAACGGTTGCCTGAAAGCTCAGTGATTCTCCAAGTGTAGCTTAGAGCCAACCCAGAAATGCTTTCCACAGCTTCCCTGTTAAGAAATATTTCAATCTCTTTTGGAGAGGGACCTTCTGCCTCCAAAGAAATTATACTCCTAATGAATAGTTCTGAATATTAGGCAAGTCTACATAATTTTATTCAGCCTATTTAGTTCTAAAAAGCCACTTGGAATAATTCTAGGATGACTTTTCCCTTCCAGCTTGTCAGATTTTTAAAGTCAGGGTGTGTAATCTCCTCTGTTCCTTGGAACTTTCCTCATATTTCCAGCTTCAAGACTTCCATTCCTTCTGGTTGCTCAGCCATTGGTCAATGTCCCTGAAAATCCTTCTTTGTGCTCAGACTGAGATGAGTACATGATCCCTAAATTTACAATATCTTTTGGCAAGAGATGGTGGAAAAGACCAAGCAGCAAGAGGTATGCCAGGCTGTGATCCAAACGTGTCTCAGACAAGCCCTAAAAAGGATAATCTATAGGCACTGATTAATCTGTTGGGTCTCAGTTCTCATGAGCTCCTCTCCTTTTGATGGTAACACCAGAAACCATGTCACCAGACAGAAAAAGATGAAGAACATCAGGCACTTGCCTTGTTTCTTTCTAAACTGACTTTTCACAACTGTGTGCTTCTATAGTTCTGTGAACTGGATTTTCAGACTTGTTAGGGGAGAGAGCATTCTAGACATTGCTCACAAAGGTCCTCATTAATTAATCCCAATATTTAGGGAACATTCTCTTTCATACAGTGTGCCTCTAGATATTAGAAAAACAGAGTTGAAAAGGCTCCATCCCTGCCATTAAAGAGGGTCTAGGAAATTTGAAGAAAAAGATATATAACTATATGCTACAATTCAAAGAGGTGCCTGCTACCACTAAGAAAAGGAGGCATGTTGGAGGAGAGGAAAACACAGTTAATTGTGCCTGTAGGACTAAGGAAGACTTGAAAGATAACTGGCATTTATTGAGAGCTTGTCATGCCCTTGGCACTTGTGCTAAATGCTTTACTTGTTTATGTTATATGTTACTGATAGCAGTTTTATCAGGAATGTGTTATCAAACCCATTTTATAGGTAAGGGAACTGAGGCTCACCCCTCATTCATTCAACAAATATTACTTGAGAGTAGTATATGTATTAGGCCCTATTTTAGGCATTTAAGATATATCAGTGTCTTCTAGAAGCCTATATTATAGGGAATGATAAGAGTCTTGTTGCATGCTTACTAACATGTAAAAAATTAGGTACAATTTCAGATTATCAACACACTATAGAGAAAAATGAGATAGGGTAAGGAGATAAAGAGAATCTGAGCTGAGTATCAGGGTGGCTGTTCTCAATAGAATTGTTAAAGAAAACTCCATTAAGGAAGTGCTATTTGAAGAAAGACCTGAATGAAATGAGAGAGTAGGCCATACAAAGATGTGGGAAATCTAGTTCCAGGTCTAGGGAGCAGCTAAGCCTTAGCTGGATTCAAATCCAGGTTTATTAAATCTCAGATTTCCCCAGCCTTAAGCTCGGTCATCAGATTTGACTCTCAAAGCCTGAGTGGGCCTTTATAAATTGAGGATTGTGGGAGGGGTATTCTAAGCAGAGAGATAGAGAGGGAGAAGACCAAGTTCAGGATTCTGAGAAGTTCTGACACTTTGCCAACAATAAGTTATTTCCACAGATTGCGGAAAGGATCCTGTACACCAAGTGGCTTGGTTACGTTCCCTTCCCAGTGTGAAGTTTGGAGACACATAACATTCCAAACCAGTAGCACATACTGTTTGACCTTTCTGTCTTCCAGCATCTCTGCACCTCAGGGTTTTCACATATGGGGTCAGAAAACCCTGGTTTGAGTCCTCTTGGACCGAGGCAAGCAATAATTGCACTTGGAAATGCATGGCTTGGAAGTCAGACAAATGTGGGCTCAGTGATGTCATGGCTTAGCTAAAGAACCCATAAATCACACTGCACCATTGGTGCTCATGGAGTGTGAAGTTGAGGCATGGAAAAACCAGGATGTGAAACCTGGATCTGCTTCTTTCTAGCTCTGAGACTGGCAGAGTTACTGACTTTATCCGAAGCTCAGTGTTCTTTGTAAGGATGGTAATATGAAACCTCATTGGGGTAATATGGGGATTACAGAAGATAATACATACAAAAGGCTAAGTGCAGTTTCTGACAGTCACCTGTGCTTAAAAGTTGTATTGTCACAATTAATACTAGATATGCATGCTTTTGCCAAAACACCCAAATGAATAGTTTTTCCCATTGGAAAGATGGGGATATTGTCCCTTACCTTTGGACCATTTGATTGACAATCAAATGAGAAAATCTTGTGTGAGAACTCTGTAAATTGTTAAATGTTACACAAACATAAGAGCTTCTTATTGGAATGTACATATGTGTGGATTTACAAAGGTTAACTGTGAAGACCATATGTCCTCTTCCAATTCATTATCTCATTCATTCATGTATTTATTTTCATATATTAAAGGCCTGTCCTAGGTGCTGAAGAGACCAAGGTAAAATTGATAAAATCTCTACAGTTAAGAGCAATCTCAAATGCCTGAGAATTCTGGGAACATCTTCAGATACGTGTCTTTTTACCTGTTCCTAGAATATAATTGAATTATTTAAAAAATAACTCAAAATGCCTTACTAACTTCATTTTGATTCTTGAGTTACATTGTACTTAAGATATTTTTTAACTAGGAAAAACAACTTTGTCCATCATGCACTTTCCTTTTAAAAATACATTAATTTTTTAGGATTTGCACATTAATTTTTGATTAAAGGCACAAAGTGCCTAGAGGGTAGAGCAGTGACTTTTGCTTAGTTTGGCTTGTACTCACTTACCAATGAGGTTTTAGATATGTTACTAATAGGTGATCAATCTCCTACAGAAGATTAGTGTGCGGGCCCAATGCCATTGAGGTAGAAATCCAGCCTATATGGAAGCTGCTTGCTAAACAGGTAACTAACTGTTTTTATCTATTTTTGAAAAAAAAAAAAATTTGGTTGTTTACTTTTTACTTCTTAGTACACTAGGGAATTTCAGGTAACACATGGATACTTTGATCTGAACAAAATCTTTGTTTCATATAACTTCTTTTTATTCCCTATTGTTTTTAGTCTATGCTTTCCTGTCCATAGAGGGTTTTTTTCTTTTCTTTTTTTAAAAATATTTTGATAAATATATATTTTTTATTCCAGGATTTTTAAAAAGATTTATTTGTTTATTTGAGAGAGTGAGCAAAAGAAAAGAGAGAGAGAGAGAGAGAGAGAGCATGAACACAAGTAGGGAGAGGGGCACAGGGAGAGAGAGAATCCCAAGCAGACACCCTCCACTGAGCATGGACCCTGTTGTGGGGCTCAATCTCATGATCCTGAGATAGTGGCCTGACCCAAAATCAAGAGGCAAACATTTAACCAACTGAGCCACCCAGGTGCCCCTATTCCAGGATTTCTAACTGGTCCTTTTCAATAACCACTTGTTTTAAAGTAAAATCCACTTTAAAAAAAAATCCCATCCCAGTGTGAGAGACATATTGCTGTTTCATATTTTCCTTTTTTTTTTTTAAATTATTTTCTTATGTTTCTGATGGTGGTTGTAATGCTGGTGGGAGTAATGTTATTACTTCTATGATCTTTTTGACTATTTTAAATGGAATTGTTTGGTCTTTCTCATGTTACTCTATCATATTAATTTTCTTGAGAATGATCTTTTTGTTAGTGAGCCCATTTATTTATTTTTTTTTGGAATATTTTCTTTGTGTGCTTTGAAGTTACTATTATTAGTGGTGGTGGTGGTGGTGGCGGTGGTGCTGGTGGTGGTGATGATGGTAGTGAAAGTGGTGATGGCGGTGATGACGGTGGCAGTGGTGGTGGTGGTGGTGGCTTCCCATCAGTGGGCCTTCCCCTGCCTCCATTTCTGTCTTTCTCTCTGTGTTCACTCACCCTCCTAGAAGGCTCTGAGTTTGCCTGCTTCTTAGTGGTCCCGGGGTTCTCCATTCAGAGCCAGGACCTTTCCTGAAGGTTGGGGCTCTGCTCCCCAGGATCTAGTAGACATAGGCCCTGAGCCAGTTGGGATTTGGCCAGGTTCACAGTTGCACTGTGAACTCTGTTGTTTCCTTCTCCACCCTCTGCTAGGGAACAGTTGCTGGTTGTGACTTTTCTTGGCCTCTGCTCTGGGGCAGGGGGGCAACCCTGGTTTGGTCTCCTGATAATTGTGGAACACTGTTGGTCTTACTCCCCACAGCACTGAATTCCTAGCCATCACTCTTCAGTACTTATGTGGAACCCAATGGCTGATTGTGCTGGCCTCCACTCCATGCTGCATGTTTCTAATCTATTTCTAATTAAAAATGATGGACATTTTGTTTAGCAAGACATGTTTTTCAAAATAATGTTTTATTATTAGACTTTTTTTAGAGCAATCTAAGGTTCACAGAAAAATTGATTAGAAGGTACTGAGATTTTCCCATTTACCCTATTTCTCCACATACACACAGTTTCCTCCACTATCAAAAAACAGGCTGCTTTTTAAACTTCTTATTCATGGGGCACCTGGGTGGCTCAGTTGTTAAGTGTCTGCCTTCAGCTCAGGTCATGATCCCAGGATCTTGGCATAGAGCCCCACATTGGGTTCCCTGCTCGGAAAGCTTGCTTCTCTCTCTCCCTCTCCCTCTGCCTGCTGCTTCCCATGCTGTGTTCTCTCTCTCTCTCTCAAATAAATAAATAAATACAATCTTTAAAAAAATAAATAAACTTCTTATTTATTTTCAAACTGCTGAAGATTCTCCCAGGTATCAATTTGGTCTATTTTGAAAGGAGTGGTAGTATTTTCTCCACCTACTTACTAAGCCTTTAGTAGGAAAAAAGCAGATAAAACTATTTTGTATTTGATTTCAAAAGAATATTGAACAAGGGAGCTAAATTAATTATGATGGTGTTGTTTCTTACACAAGAAGTATTTAACCAATTTTCTACTGAATTTATACAAACTCAAAATCATATTATCATTAGTGCATAATCTACAATTAAAACATTTTATACATGACAAAAGAGCTATAATTTCTAAGGAAAGCATGTTGCAATGGAAATAATAAGAAACATTAAGGAACAAAAGCTTTGTTAATGTACAAAATATATCCAAGGGTTTAGGAACTCTTAAGATAAAGCCTATTAACTTATTAACCTGATATCAGTTCATTTTCAGGACTAAAAGAGAAGTTTATTTAACATGTTAGAGAATTATAGAAGGTAGAGGTAGAAAGAGTAGCACTGGTTTTAGGTAATACTGCATCTAATTCATAATCATCATAAAGAGCACTTTATCTAGAAAATAATCCTTAGGGGGGCCTGGGTGGCTCAGTGGGTTAAGCCTCTGCCTTCGGCTCAGGTCATGATCCCAGGGTCCTGAGATTGAGTCCCGCATTGGGCTCTCTGCTCAGTGGGGAGCCTGCTTCCACCTCTCTCCCTCTGCCTGCCTCTTTGCCCACTTGTGATCTATGACTGTCAAATAAATAAATAAAATCTTTAAAAAAAAGAAAAGAAAAGAATCCTTGTTTTGCTCAGATGGGCTCTTTAATTCATGCTATGTGTGTACATCATATGACTCTAGCTCCTCAGGTTTGCTCTCTCTGCTATCATTAATAGTGGGGTCAGCAAAGCCAAAATGGGGACAATTGAGGGCTTAAAAAAAGTTAAAGGTGTTATAAAGAGACCAAAAAACTATGTGCATGGATGGCCAGCTTTGGGCTGGGGATAGATTCCACCCATGGTCTTCACCACAGCTTGGGTACAATGGTCCCTAAAGGGCAGGCCTGTGGTGACTTGCCTGACTCTGAGAGCATCATGCTAAGACCTGTGACATGAAGAGTCTGTTATTTTTAAATGACCTGGATACAAGTGCAGTCTTGCATCTTCCTCACACACCTTGACTCAATCTGCAGCATGTGATCACATGAAGAATGCAATAAAATGGTCAAAGCTGAAGTTTGTTTTTAAAATAGACTAAATTGGGGTCCCTGAGTGGCTCAGTGGGTTAAACCTCTGCCTTCGGCTCAGGTCATGATCTCAGGGTCCTGGAATCGAGCCCCGCATAGGGCTCTCTGCTCAGCAGGGAGCCTACTTCCTCCTCTCTCTCTCTGCCTGCTTGTGATCTCTCTCTCTCTCCGTCAAACAAATAAATAAAATCTTTAGAAAAAAAAAAAAGAGAGACTAGATCATAATTCTCTTCCACTATGGGTAAATACTGTTTAAAAAGATAACTTGTTAGATTTTGTTATTGATAAAATATTTTTTCTTTTTTTTTGTTTTTAAAGATTTTATTCATTTATTTGAGAGAGAGAGTGAGCGAGAGCGCATGAGTGGGGGGAAGGGGTAGAGGTAGAGGGAGAAGCAGGATCCCCGCTGAGCAGGGAGCTTAAAGCAGGATTCAACCCCAGGACTCTGAGATCCTGTCCCGAGCCGAAGCCAGACACTTAACCAACTAAGCCACCCAGACAGCCCTAAAATATTTTTCAAAGTTCAAAAGAAATAAGAATGATCAATGTGTGGTCAGGCTCTGAGTGCTTAAAATAACTTTGCTTCCACCATAGCACATTCCCCGTGCTTGACATTTTCTCTACCGAAATTGAGTTCTAAGTTAATTCCTGAATATCAGAGATCATTGTGTGTTGTAAAAAATTAAAAAAAAAAATTTCCATACAGAAATGACATCGTCCTGATTGCCACTAAGATCCATGCAAGTGACTGAAATGCAGTTTTTGTACCTGCAGGTTTTAAATCCATTCTACGTGTTCCAAGCCTTTACCCTAACTTTGTGGCTGTCTCAAGGTTACGTAGCATACTCTGTGGCCATCATCATCTTATCTGTTCTCTCCATTGTCTTAAGTGTGTATGATTTGCGACAGGTAAGAGCTGAAATCACACTGGGATTCTATTTAGCTTCTGGTGCCCACACAGCAAAACCTACGGGATATCTACTGAGAACAAGGAGTTGCTTTGTTAAACTTATGTCATAAAGCAAAAAGCAAGGTCTTACTCAATGAGGGATCTCAGGAAAAGTGCTTCAGGACTGGCAGGTAGATGAAAATGTTCTTGTAAAGTCTGATTATTGACTGAAGGCTGAATGGCATACTATGTTTGGAAGGACTCTTAGGTTGTGTCTGAATATGTTGGGAAAGAATGCTGTGATGGGTTAATGATGCCAACATAGTAACTTTCCGTTATTGTTCATCTTATAGCCATTTAAAGCCTTCCTTTTTTTTTTTTAATCAGTCTTATAAATAATATGACAATGCATTCTGAAATAAAATTTCCTGGAATATTACTTATAATCCTATAGTCCCTGCAAGTCTCAGCTTCCCACAACATCTTTCTAGAAAATGTTCTGCAACTTTGCTTAAGAGTCATCAGGCTGAACCATGAGGCCACTCCAAAAAGATGTCTTGCTGTATTTATTGTATATTTTTTGAAAACTTGAGCATGGAATTAGCTTTGTATACATGGGGTTGGGGGGCAGACGGTGGTACAGCACAATGTGTCAGTCTGTCAATCCTACTGACCTGCTGAAACCATCTCGTCTCCAACTTCATCCTGCATTGAGAGGGAAGGAACTAAGATCTAGAGTGCTTGTTCCAGGTCAGAAAGGGGGTTCATGAGAGAGTCGGGGCTTCTGGCTCCTTATACAACAAAATTCTACTGCATAGGCAATACTTCATCAGCAGAAAGCTAGTACTGCAGCTGGGGATGGAAGTCGAACACACGTGTGAGAAGAGAGACGAGTTCTAGATATCTGCAGAGTAAGCTCTGAGCACGTGTCAGTAAGGCAGACACAGGGTGTTGACACAAGAGTCACTGAAAGGGACCTTTTATTCCAACTCTATTTCAGTCGCTCAACAAATATTAGGTCTAATATTGGTTCTTTATCTGGTTTAGATCCTACAAATTTTGAGTTATGAAATGTTGGATGAGAAATGAAAGAGAAGCAATAAGTATGTAAAAAGTTAGAAAACAGAACCTAAACATGAAAAGTTAAATGAATGGAAATTCTATGAACTAGAGAGAGAGGATGACAGGGCCCTGTTTTGTTTATTTGTTTCTGTTTTTTCTTTTCTTTTTTAAAAATGAGTGCCCATGTGTGTTTTTTTCACAAACTAATTTAAATCACAAAAATATTAACAGTGACCCATAAACTGCCTTTGGTGGTGGTGAATACTTTCTTCCTGGCTGCCAAGTCAGGGGGAAGAGTGACAGTCCTTTCGGTGAAGTCTAAGCATTTGGGCAAAAGCATGAAAATAGATAATAAAAGGATCATAAAAGATCTGACACATTCTGCCAGCCAAAATAGGAAACCATTGTGTCCTAAGCTTTTACCTTGGTCGTATGATAAATGTATGTAATGTGAAGCCCACAAATAGAATTTATAGTTCCCAGATTTGGAGAAATCTTTGCTTTATTAGAATATCTAATTTGATACCTGCAAACCATTCATACACTTTCTGGCTTAAGTCAAACATCAGTGAATACGATCCTACCCTCACATCCTTCATTCCGCAGGAGAGACAGCTACATACATTCACTCAAATACATCATCACAAACCATCTAAATGTTCTCAGGAAAAATAAAGAACTGTCTGAAGACTTTTGTGGTGCGGAGATCTTATCTACTCAAGTTAAAAATCTCCCCCTCACCTCTCCTATTTGTGTTACTTGACACTATTATAATCAGCTTCTTCATCTATAAGAGGTGTGTGTGTGTATGTGTGTGTATGTGTGTGTATGTGTGTGTGTGTGTTGATGGTACAGCTGAGAGAATTAAATGGAACCATGAATTTGAATATTTATATTCCTGGTACATAGTAGATACTCACCAAATGTTAGTTCTTGTTATCATCAGTATTACTGTCATTGTTTTTATTATTATGTCTGGAGTGGGGAAAGTTGCCAATGGACAGTTGGGAGTGGGCACAGAGCTGGAAGGGAGGAGCCCTATAATGTGAATAGGGAAGCGTCATGGGAATATGGGGACAGGCTGCTAACGACCACTGGCTCACTCATTGTATGACTCTCTGGACTCTGTTTTCCCTGGATTCACTTTCCTCAGCTGTAAATGGTGGAGGCTATACTCTATTTTTTTAGGTCTCACCATGAGGGTTCTATTATTTTCCCCGGGCCACAAATAAGGAATGAAAAAGAGCCCTTGAAAATTTCAGAACACTACTAAGAAATTTTCTGACCACTAGAAATCTGGGCACATGTGTTAGACTGGAGTCACTTCCTATTAGACCCTTAGGTGCAACTATTAGGTGTTAGCCTACCTATCAGATAAACAAATCAGGTCAGGATGTGTACAGATAATAGAAACCTACTTAAACTACCCTAATCATCCAATGGATATATATTATAAATATGTACCAGTAGCTCATAGAACCCAAGGACATAAAGTATAGCAGACTTCAACAGGGGCTGGACCCATGAACTTGGGTTACTCTCTCTAGCCTCCTACCCTTTGACAGGCATGAAATTAAGTACACATATTTTGGAGCAAGTGCTCTGCCTCCCTCCTCTTCTCTGACCATTGAGAGCACCCCGAGCTCTAGCAGCCTGCAGCTAGTTTGTTCCACTGGCTCTATCCTTGCACCGGCACACATAGTTGGAACAGGGGTCACCAGACTCTGGAGAAGCCAGTTTGTTGACAGGAATGATGCCAACATAAATTTTTGCCTGGGATCCAAGCCTAAGGGCTTGAAGCTGTTTGTTATACTCTGTTAGGAATGTGATCTGAGAAATGCTGCTAGCTAGGACCAGAGTGGCTACCTTTGATCCCTGTGTGGGAACAAACAGAGAAAACACTATGCAAAGAAAGAGCAAAATAATGAGCCAAATACACAGTGAAACACAGAGGTGAGCAATATGGAGTCCAGGGGAGAGGCTGAGGGAGAAAGAGAGGGTAGAGGGAGAAAGAGAATGAATGACCTGCTCCTCATAGCTTTTCCTGTTTCTGCTGGGATCCCTTGAGACCCCTGGCTTCACTTCCCACCTTAGGTTTATATGACATCCCTGCATCTTCACAAATTCTCACCTGCCTAAGCCAACTTAACAAATTTCTGTTATCTGTAATCAATGGGTCCCAATTAAATGGGGTGTTACCGCATGCTATGTTACGCCCCCCAGAATGTTTCCACATATTTCCCCCACTTAAATACTGTTTTTGTTCTACACATTTCCCATCTACATGTTTATGACAAACTTCAGTCTCTCTTTTAAAATTTCTTTACAGGGGTGCCTGGGTGGCTCAGTGGGTTAAAGTCTCTGCCTTTGGCTCAGGTCATGATCCCAGAGTCCTGGGATCTAGCCCCGAATCGGGCTCTCTGTTCAGCGGGGAGCCTGCTTCCTCTTTCTCTCTCTCTCTCTGCCTGCCTCTCTGCCTACTTGTGGTCTCTATCTGTCAAATAAATAAATAAAATCTTTAAAAAAAATTTCTTTACAATGTCCATTTCTTCACTTAGAACTTAGGTATAACTGTCTTGAGGGAAACAGAAAAGAAATATGGAGATTCCTGGGGGAAGGGTTAACAGAAAAAATAGGTTTGATTCTTCACTCTAGAGGGCAATGTTTCAGTGAGAGAATTACTCAAGTCTCCTAAGCTCTTGACCTATTAAATCAAAATATTCAGGGTAAAACAGGAATCTGTGCTTTTTCACAGTTTCATTACAGGTAATTGCTATGCATGCTAAAAGTTTAAGAGCTATTGTTCCAGGAATCCACCAAAGGATAATTTCAAGCACTAGGATCCAAATACATCTATTTAGTTATTTATTAAGGCATCATCAGTGGATGTATTTTTCACTCTTTCTACTCTATAGGATGCACAGAAATACTAGTTTATATGGAGATTTATTTATATACTTATTAATTTGTTTTATTAAAACAGGAATGTACTTTGAATATTAATCTGGAACTTGTATTTTTCACTTTACAATACATGCAGTGGCCATCCACCAGGTAAATAAATAATTCTAAACCATGTTTCAAAAATCATGGTGTGACATTCCATGGTATATCATAAGTTATTCAACAATCCTTTTCTTTATGGAAAATAGGGGCTTCCTCCCCAATTTTTCCATAAGTATGCTGAATTACACACAACTACACTATAGATGTATCCTTACATTTTAGTGTTCACAGCTTTTTTTTTTTTTTTTTTTAACAAAGCAACCAAAAGCCACATTGTTGAATCAAAAGATACAATTTTGGATGTTAATAGATACTGAGATATTATTTTCTTCAAATAAAATAACAGCAACATATGAGAGTATCCATTTCCCCAGATTCTCACCAGCATTTGGTGTCATATACTAATGTTTATAATTTTTCAAGCTACCATTTTTTAAATTATGTCCCATCGTTGTTTTAATTTACATTTTGCTGATTATTGGTGAGATTAGACACATTTTTCTCTAATAGATATATGCATTTTTCTTTTCTATTTATTGTCTCTTCATGTCCATCGTACATGTGGAAAAATTTCACTTTATTAATCCATCTTTTTTCTTTTGACCTTGACTTTTCCCAGGTATTTAAAAATGTGTGTAGTCAAATATGTTTCTCTTTTCCTTTTCTGGGTTTCCGGGTTTCCTGTTTTGCTTATCAAGTTCTCCTTTTCCAAAAGTAGGTATGCTCTGTTTTTCCATTTGTAGCTTTCTTAATATTTATTTTAAAATCCTTAATGAATCTTGAACATTCAGGTTCTACATTTTAATAGTTCCGAAATGCCTTTGCTTAAAGTAGCAACTGGCCTGGGAACTTCACTTGAACACAGTACTGCCCAAGAGTTCTTTAACAAAGAGACACTAATCCCATTAGCATCTCCCATTTGTTAACAAAAGCTTATCTGACCCACCCTGTAAAGCGACTGGTAACACCACAGCAAATAAGCCAATTTCCTGATACTATCTTTGCAGTGGAAGTCACAAATCCCCAACAATCAATATTTCTTTAGCTCTTCACTATTTAAAGTGGGTTCCCACATCCGTAACAGGTGCTTGTGTGGGGCAGGGCAAACTCTAAAAGGATACACTTGTGACGGTTGTATTCTCCCACCACCAGAGAGGGAAGAGCAGGAACAGTCAGGGAGGGGAAGTGATTTGCTCAGGCTTGCGGTGTGATGGTGGCTATGCAGACCATGGCCCCAGGTTTCCTGATTCCAAGTCAAGTATTTCACACCGTCCCACTGAGCAAAATTTCAAAGTGACCTAGGAGTTTCCTTGGAGCAGTAAACCGTTGTTTGATCATTTTATTACAAAAAGACTGGGGAAAGGCTTTGCCAGGATTGGAAGGACCATCTTCGGCCCTCTCTAAATCCTGCTAAACAAATACCAGCCTTGAAAATTGCAAGAGGGGAAGTGGTGGTGGCAGGAGTGGAATAAGCTATCATTCTCTATCTACGCTAGCCCCAAATCACGCCGCAAAGAGAGAGTAACCTTGCCTAAGCCGAGAAAAACCCCGTGGCAGCCCCTAACAAGTTTGGCGCAGGTTGAGTGAAAGTTGGGTTGGCATTCAGCTGTATTAACACTGAGCTGATTCGCACACTCCGTCGCGGGCTCCACAGGCCGCTGCTAGAAATAGCGCGGAGAGTATCTGACCCACCGTGCCTTGCCTTCAGTCACGACGGAACTGGACTCAAAAGATACCTGAGTTAATGCCCTCATTACTTATCTCTGGAGGAAATCCAGCCACAGCAAACACAAGGACACACAGCAACAGATGCCCAGTAATAACAATATGCAAATTAGTCTTGGAAACTGATCCTGGTCCCACTAAACAGGGACGGGAGAAACCAGAGGGGGCCTGAGGAAAAGCAGGCATCACAGCTTCCAAATCAGGGCAAGCATCACAGCCCTCCCGTTCTCCTAACTGGTTGGTTGTCATAGAAACCCGCGTTTGTAGAGTTTCCTGGTACATTAGCTGGAAGAGGATGCTTACATTATCCTTCTCCAGTGTTGTTGGGAGGAGGAAAATAATTCAGTTCTATTAAATAAGTGTTTGCTGAGGGCCTACCATGGGATAGACTCCCAGGGTACCTGCATGAGTACTTGGGTCTTCTTGGAACTGCCTGCTTCCCAGGGGAGACCTGACGAGAAAACAGCTGTAATGGAATGTGATCAGTTCACTAATACTGGTAGGAACACAGACAGCGGAACAATTAATCCTTTCTGGGGATGTTAGTGACATACAGGGTGGAGGTGACATTTGAGAAGGGCTTTATGTGAAGGATTCGGAAGAGTTTGCTAGTGGAAAACCTGGGTGAGCATTCGGAGTATGAGCGTGAACAAAGGCGTGGAAGCATGACAGGTCTCACAGAACGCTAAGCCTGATGAATAAATCCGGCTTGATGCCATAATGAGTTTTGAGAGTTACAGTCAATCATTATGAACTCATACTTCACCACTTCCAAATGTGTTGATTATCATCCTCTTAAGCTAGGTTGAAGTTATCATGGCATTGACTAAAAGAGTTTGCTAAGCAAGAAAGTAACTTAAAGAAATTTATAAGGAAGGTTATTTATCTTCTTACAGGAAAAAAAGCTATTTTCAAGCACTTTAGGAGAATGTATTCACCAACAGAAAAGGCTTTAGAGCCAGATGAACTAGGGTTTTATTGTCAATCTTAATACTTAGTAAGTGAATGATTGTAAGCAAGTTACTTTAACATTTTCAAGCCCCTATTTTGTCTTGGTTTTGCTTTTGTTTGGATTTTATTTTGTTATATGTACATTGGAGATGATAACATTTTCATTGTTGGATTAGTTTGAGGAGTAGAAAAAAAAAATCAAGCAATACATTCCAGCTGCTCACCCACTGTGCCTGGCACAGAGTAGTTGCGTAATGTTCTAAACTGTTTAAAAATAATAAATGTGAGCCATTAGAAACGCTGGGTATTTTCTCTATGAAGCCTTGGGGGCTTTGAATAAATCTCTGATATGCAAAATAAATCAGTATCAGACCATGCTCAGTTTTGGAAGATAACTGAAAATGATTCAATTCAATGTCACTTGTTCAGGGAGAAGGAACAACTAACTTATCATGTGAAATTTCTTACATAGGGGTACATGGCTGGTTAGTGTGTAAACCTGACCCACAAATCAGGAATCCTGACTGAATCCAGTTTTCTTGTCACAGAACGGAGGCTGACTTTCTCACCATTATCCATCATTAAAATGGATGCCCCATTTGGCAAGCCACAGGAATCAATTTAAGGCACTGAATATGTACCTAACAAACAGTAATATCACTTCTTCCACTCGGTTGGTCCAAATGTTCGAAATGTAGCTTTTTATAAAAAACTGAAGTAAAGAATAAATTGTTCTGTATAAATAAAAACACGGAATTTATTATATTTCTCAAGAGGAAAGTTACATAATCGTGTGTAATGCTTGTCTTAGTCTGGTGACATTGGCTACCATCAGCTAAAAATAATCAATAGGACAGATAAAAATAATTGACCCTAACATCTGCAAGGAAAGTTTTATACTTGCATTACGCTGGGCTGTGTTTCAGTACTGTTGACAATATTCCGATCTCTTCCGAGTATCCAGGTGAGCCGGGCTGCGCCCTTCAGGAACGCCCCAGCTGATGGCGCCCCCTACAGTCTATATGGGGAACTGTGTGGAGAACATACTCTCACCTCTGCCTTCCCCTCTTCTGAGTTTTCCCAGGAGACTGCCTCCACTTCTCCAGGCAGCTTCCAATTCTTTCACTTTGCCCAGGGTCATATCTCAATGAATTCCACCCCAAGCAGATCTTCCCAGCTGACGCACTTCGACAATTATTTATCCAGCAACAACTTTTATTAATCATTAATACTTACTGAGCTCTTACCATGGTAATGAGTGCTATCCAAAGGGAGAACTAAAATAAGCACTAACTAAATTTTAAAAGCCATCTGAAACAGATACTGCTATTGTCTCCATTTTCAGATGAGGAAAAGGGAGTTAGGTTGAATAATAATGCCTTACTGGAAGTACCAGGCTTCCAAAACGAGCAGCACTGGTCTAATCTGCAGACATCTCCAAGATGAAAATCCACCTGTTCATAAAGGAAGGGATGGCTGTTCCACATAAAATCAAAACAGCCCAAATATTCCCAGGCTCTTGCAATGTAAAGATCAAATTCAGCTTCATTGTTTTATAGACGGGAAAGAGGTCCCAAGAGGGAAAGTAACCTGTTCATGGTCTTGTTGTCTTTCCCCTGCTTCATCGTGTGCCTTCAAGAAGAGCAGCCTCAGGACTTAGTGTTGGTCCTTGGGCAGGGTGGTTGTACATTATGTTTCCTGGAATTGAAATAGTATTAAATGTATTAGCATATTTATTGCTACTGGTTGGGGGTTGGCCAGGGTAGGGATCAGGGTAGGGAAGCAAAAGCATCAAAAGCAGAGCTTGACCCTTTGCCCACAGTCGCTTTGGCTGTGATGGCAGGCTCTGTTTTTACTGTACTGAGATCATGTGGTTTTCAAGTTATGGACTATCTGACGTTTAAATGTGAACTTTGAATTGGCAGCAATCAGTCAAGCTGCACAACCTTGTGGAGGATCACAACAAAGTCCAGGTTACGGTCACCGTAAAGGGCACAGGTAAGTGTTATGTTCTGCCAGCTTCAGCATCCTAATATTTCAGGGTGGAATCAGTCTCACCTGTTACTGATTATTAGTTGAGGAGAAAAGTCTTCTCTGATTAAACCCAGGTCTGGGGCTAAAGTGAGGCAAATAAGGCTTCTAAGATGCAAAACTTAAGGAGGAAAGGTCATGCTAAATTTCCTCTGCATTTGCAGGACCCGGAAGGTGAGCCCCTCACTGAATTTTGTAACCTGGGTACTTTGCATGCCTTGCCTTGATTGAATCATTTCCACCCAGTGTCTGGGCTGCTTCCAGTTCCCTCTGCCTTCCATACTTCACTCATTTGAATGTTGCTCAGTCAGCCTTCTTAAGGCTTTTTGAATTCCCTTAATAACCATCCCAAACAGACCCTGAATCATAACATTTCAATCCGTTATCCAGAATCCAGCCCTGAATAATTCTTGTAAATTGCTGATGGCTGGGCATTTGGCATTTTCTTTGGATTTAGCCTGGGGTGGGGAGGCCATGGTTCTTTGCAAGGAGTGAGGAGCTTCACCCTAGGGCAGCAGAAGCTGTCTGAATGATTTACACTAGGCCCCAATCCAAAGTGTGCCAAGTGAGTTAGGAGCCCAGCCCCAGCAAGTAAGCAGCATTAAAGGGGCACCTCTTAGATGACCGATACCCTGGAGTATCTCCTATGGACAGAGAACTGTCCCAAGTACTAAGATCAAGATAGAATCTTGTTGCTCTGGTGATCTTTAGCTAAGGCCCTGGAATCAAATCCCTAATCCTGGCTTCTGTGATTCTGCAAATGAGCAGAAAGGAGCTGGAGCAAGTGAATGTGTAGGGTGGTCCTTGGTCAACAGGTTGGTTTAGAGTTCTCAGCCGCTTGCATTTTTCAGTAAAAACAGGAATAGATCAGCCAGTCATGAAACCTTTGCTGTTGTGTAGGTTTGCAGGAGCTGGAATCCCGTCTCTTGGTTCCTGGAGATACTCTTATTCTTCCAGGAAAATTCTCATTGCCTTGTGATGCTATTCTGATTGACGGAAGCTGTGTGGTGAATGAAGGCATGCTCACAGGTAGGCTGTTGTCATGGAGCTTCTCCTTTCCTGTCCAACACCTAGGCCAAGACTTAGCAAAGTGCATCAACACATCCTTACCTGCTTTATACTAGCCTGATATTAAGATGTGGGGAGACAGGTGAGGGAGACACAACTAGGCTATTCATGCAGATGGAGACTCCATATATGCAAAGAGGAAACATTTAATAACTTAAGAATCAAATGACAATAAATACAAAATTTTTTAAATAAAAGAAAAGTCTAATGCATATGATTGATTCATTTCCTGATGGGTGGGGTGAATTGGGTGAATCGGGTGAATGCATAAGACTGCTTGGTGCACGGTATCTTCATAAACATGAACACAGTTTACACACCTATCCAAACACAACACAACAGGAGACCAACAGTTCTCACAATTGGCAGGGTGCAGAGATTTTATCCAACCCTGCTCTCTGTAGATGGAAAACTGAGCCCCAGGATTCCCTGGGAAGGAGATTGAATTGAACCTTCAAGGAAAGGCCATATAACAGTTCTGTTCTTTAGAATTGTGTTTCCAGTTGATCTTACTGGGCAGAAAGCCAGTTTTCTTGTAATGGTTTGAACTGTCATTCTTATTCTTGATTGTATTTCGTAAAGTTCACTTGAATTTGTGTAATTAGCAAGGCACTAGGTATAAAATATTCTTCAGTCAAAAAACCCCCCAACACACAGGACATCATAATAAGAAGAAACATACAATAACACAAAATAGAAAATATTTGTTTTTTGCTGCTTACAAATTGTTGTATTTTTCTCTTTCCGAGTTGCTAAGACAGGAAAAATACACACACGCATGCACAGCGTTTTTAATATCACCTAAATGTAAAGTACATTACCAATTCCTAAATTGTTCAACATAAGCAGATTTCACATTAAAAATGGGTCTGCTTAATTTAAAATTTAGGCAGGAAAATGTAGTAAACATAAATATGCTCGGTATAATTACAAAATACCCCTTTAGTGTGTTGAAATCTAACTGCCTTATAATGATAGCGATGAGGATTTGCATACTGATCATATCCTTCATCCAGAATGTTGCCATAGTACCCGATGCACAAACCTCAAGCCCAAGAAAAACTGTCCTCCTCACTCCCAGGTAGCAACTCTCTCACATTTCCAGCAGCCTGCCAGTGAAGAATGGCTTTTCTCACTGGCAAAGGAGCATGGCTGTGAGGAGGAAGGGGAGGACTGATCAGGTTTATGCCCCTGGGTGTACTGACTTGGGTACATGGTTCTTGCCTTGATTCCAGGAAAACTCAGAGAGTTCTGGAGAAGTAGAGAGGGTAAACAATGCTGCTTTTCCACAATTTTCCAGAATTGACCTAATATGACCTTAAGAAGTAAGTGGCATTTCTTAGGTCTGTTTCTGGAAAAATAAGGTCACCAGCATTAATATCTATGTAACCTAAGTACTAATAAATGTCAATTTTAGGGACTAACACATAAAACAGAAGTACATATATTTCTTTCTCATTGTTTTCTTCAGAAAGATCTAAATACCACCATGCTTTAAGTACGTTATTATGCAGCCAACATAGATCCGCCCACTCATGTACACTATTTGTAAAAAGGATCCTGATTGAACATTCAGATTATGCTTAGATTCCTGAAAATGCGTATATCTTCCTAGAGCATTTGTCCACAAATTTGACTCAGATTTTTTGTTTTTTGTTTTTCTATGTGCAAGCCAGTTCTTTGCATATATGGAAGTCTTTATGTCTTCATTTAGGAGAAAAATAGCAAATACTCCTAGCATCTCTAGAGCAATTTACATTTTATAACTAACTTTTATATCTCACAAAATAAATGAAGAGCTGTTATAATACCCAACTTCCAGATGAGGAAACCCAGGTGGAGAGAGACCAGACTGGTCAGCTAGCAAGTGTCAGAGTGAGAGGTGGCTTTTGCTTCTGAACAGGAGGGACCATGGGAGGAGGAGGAGGAGGATTCTAAGAGGGGTAAAGCTCTCATTTCTTGTGCCTTATCATTTTTTTTCTCTCAAATAGATAGTCCTGCTCACAGCACATGCCCATTATAGGATCTTCCTCCTCCTCATCTCCTTAGACTCATCCTATTGCCATAAGCTCAATTATGCAAGAAATTTAATTTTATAACTAAACTTAGTTTTAATTTTTGTTCCAAATTTGCCATCCTTGAGAGTAAGTAGTGGTATAAGTCAGTCGTTCCCATCAGTTGGCGGGTCCCCTGATGCAAGGCACTGGGGAGGTAGGTCTGGTCTAGGGTAACTCTTCTGTCTGTTGCTCCCACTCCCCACTCTGGACTTGGGAAATGTCCCAGTTCTGTGTCCCTGCAAAAGGAAGCCAAGTGGTACCTTTTGCTCAGTTTTCAGAAACTTCTAGAGTGTTTCCTTACGCTTCTCTCAGGGACACATAATATCTAAGTTTCCTTTGGATCCTTCTAATTTCCAATCCAGAGATTTTTATTTAGCTAGAAAAGTAGTAGAGGGAAGGCATAGTGAACAGAAAAGTTTTATTTTTATTCTCAGGTGGTCTCTAAAGTTCATGGTCAAACTTATGAATGACTTCTGAGACTCAAAAGCCAGTTACCAACTCCTCAGTCCTTTCTGCCTCTGAAGGAGGCGGACCCCTTCAACTTACATCTCCTCACGAAGCAGTCAAGAGGCAAAAGGGAATAAATACTGTGGGGGAAATTCTATTAATGTTCTGAAATTTCTCTTGGCAAAATAGCTCATTTCTCTTCATTCTTGTATATATCAAGCATTATGTTAAGGTTTTACATATATTATTTCATTCAATCTATAACTCTCTAGATGGGAGAATCTAAGGCCCAGAGAGGATAAGTCATTTGCCTAAAGTCACACATTTTAAAAGTGGTAGAGTTGCTATTTGGATTCATTTGTTTATTTATTTATCCATTCATTCCTTCCATAAATGTGTATTAGCTCCTATTTATGGAGCACTTTATTAGGTGCTGGGGATATAGCAGTGAACAAGGCAGATAAGATTCTGCCCTCATGAGGGTGACAGTCTAGTGGGGAGAAAAAAAAAACATGAGAATTGGTAAATGACATAAATTTCCAATGACACGTTTTCGAACATAAATGCCAAGAGGAAAGTAAAGCACTCAAATCCAGGTCTTTTGACTTGAGAACCTAGGCCTAAAACTACAGGCCCCTCATTCTCTTAGGAGTAATTATGGGACAGATTGGTAGTATTCACGCTGCCACAATCCCCTCCTTCTCCCTCTACTCATTGGACTTAGTGACGTATTTGAAATGTGTGTGTGGGTAGTGTGCAGAGATCCGAGTCGAACACACAGGAATTTCCTGAAGTGGTGATTTCATATTTGCATCCTGTCAGACAAGCTTGTAATGAGTTGCTAGGTCAGCTCTTTTCTCTCTTCCCTTTTCCTTTCCTTCTGTCTTTCACTTCTCCCTTTCTTTCATTTATTCATTCGTCCATCCATTTATTCAATAAAGGTTCGGAAATGCCTACTCTGTGCCAGGCACTGTGTTGTTCCTGAGCGGCAAGACAAATGAGAGATGACCACTAGCCTCAAACAGCTTCCAGTCGAATGGCCCCAAAATAGAACAGACAGGAATGTGGCATTTCATGCGGAGGCACTGGCTCATTGAGGATAAGAGGCAGAATCCCACCTCACAGCAGCCAGTGCTTCCAGGTCCCAGAAGTCAGCGGAAGTTGATAATGAGTGTTTGTCCTTCTAAAACACTCTCCAGACTCTTTAGACCTCCAAACATTTATAGGCAAATCACTCTTACTTGGGATTCTGAGAAAGGCCAAGCACGAGACTCCTCATTAATATGGGAATAGCGTAAAAGAGCCTTGAAAGTCATTTCTGTGTTAAAATCATATCTGATTCGAATGTTATCTTTGGAACATTATCTCCAAATGACTTCCATCTCTGCTTGATTGAATGCCTGCCTGCCACCAGTATTGTGGGTAGTGTGTGCAGAAGCTATCCCCTAATATTAGCCTAAGACTGTATTGTAGATTAATATTCTGTGATTCAAAAGCAGAAAAACATTAGAAATTTTCTCTAAGTATCTGCTTCTACAAAGGCTGAATTCAAAAACAATGGGGATACAGTGATTTGGAGATTTGTCAAAAAGGTTCTATCCCTTTTCCAAAACCACTTAGAACATAACTGGTAAAGCCAAACAAAGAATAAATAGCATAACTGTTTTAAAGAGAATGAGTTAGGAACAATGTTTGGCTAAAGGAATTTCCTGAGAATATTCAAGATCACTAATAAAAATTGTATAGCTTCTTGTACCTTAGGATGTAAAAAATGCATCATGTAGAAAACTAGTTTTGAAAAACCAATCATAGAAAAACCTGGGTAATTGTTTTTATTCAGTTCACCCAGGCATTCAACAAAAATATGTCTTTTGAACCTATTACATACCAGCAAGGAAAATGAGCAGTGTAAAAAGCTATAATGTCCAAGTCCTTGCCCTCAGTTATTACCTAGGAGAGAGAGAGAGACTGAATTTGTGTAACTATAATCAATATAATACTATTTCCAAATTAGAAATATGACATGTTATTTTGCTAATTGAACATTTAGCAAAAGATTGATGGAATTTTAAATTCATTCTAGTGCTTTTTAAATCTGAGAGCCAGGAAGTGTTATTAGCATTTTTGTTTTGTCTCTGAACCTATCCTTTTAAACTCCGAGTTAATTTTCTTTGTATTTTCTTTGTATTTTAAATAACCCATCTTGGGGCACCTGGGTGGCTCAGTGGGTTAAAGCCTCTGCCTTTGGCTCAGGTCATGGTCCCAGGGTCCTGGGATCGAGCCCCACGTCGGGCTCTCTGCTCAACGGGAAGCCCGCTTCCTCCTCTCTCTCTCTGCCTGCCTCTCCACCTACTTGAGATCTCTGTCTGTTAAATAAATAAATAAAATCTTTTATAAAAAAAAAAAGTTTAAATAACCCGTCTTCCTGCTGCTATCAGGAAAAGTAGAGGAATAGTACCAGCAAAGAATGGCAGTCAGTAATAGGATATGCAGTGGCCTGGTTTAGCTGGAATGTGTAGGAAAAAGAGCCAGTGATGCCCAGTTTGTGGTGGCTTTGAAAATCTAGCAAGAGAGAAAGTTTGCACTCGGGACCCTTCCAAACCGCATCCTATGTTTCTCTTCATCTGCCTATTTACCTGTATCCTTTAACATATCGTTTAACAAATTAGTAAATGCAAGTATTTCCCTGAGTTTGGTGAGCCACTCTAGCAAATTAATTGAACCCCAAAAGGGGATTGTGGGAACTTCAGATTTATTAGTCAGAAGCACAGGTGACAATGTAGATTTGCAACTAGCATCTGACATGGGGGAGCGGGGAACAGTCCTATGGGACTGTGTCCTTAAGCGGTGAGATCTGATGCTGTCTCTAGGCAGATAGTGTGAGAATTGAATTGCATTCAGTTAAATTGTAGGACAACCAGCTAGTGTCACAGAATTGCTTGTTGTGGGGAAAACCCCCACCCATCTGGCATCAAGAGTGTGTGAGTGAGTGTGGTAGTAGCGTCATAGCAAAGGAGACCCATAGGAGGAAGGACTGAAGGTTTCTCCCAACTCAGGAGGTCAAGCCAGATTGTGGGTGAAATACTTACTCATTTAAAAAAAGAGGTATTAATTCTACTGTAGTCTCAAATTATTATTATTAAAATGTGTTTCGTGTCAAGGGGCTAAGCAATTACAGGTAATCTATTGATAAGGCAATCAGCATGAGTTGGCAGTTACCAATGAAGGCTTTGGGATACAAATGCAAGAGTCCAAGAATGAATCAGTGAGGCCCACTCACAGGCAAAAACAGTAAGAGTTGGAGAATCAATCCATGAGAGTGAGGAGCATGGGAAAAGGAGGTGATTCTGAGACTGTAAACAAAAGGGTGGAACCATAAATAGTCAGGAGGACGTTTCATGATGAAAATATTAATATGGATTGTAGATATTGTAGATATAGTGACTTAGGGATGCTAGTAAGATATCCAGATTGGGATGAACAACCCACCACTGGGAAATATAAAACAAGAACACAAGAGGGAGGGAAGATGAAGATAGATGTCATTGATCTAATGATTTAGAAGTATTAATTAATGAGAATAGAGCTGAGATGATCCAAAAAGAAAAAAAAAGATGTCCTGCTATATTGGTTTCTAGTTTTCACTACAAGCTCCAAAAACATCATGAAAAATATTTTATAAATCGTATGAGGATGTAATTTCTTGTTCATCTCTGTACTTCTAGGACTCTACCCCTACCGTCACACTCAATGTTCCAAACACCCTCAGCCATCTTTAGTGCCCAGAGCACAGCAAGCTCTTGCTGTCATTTCTTCCAAGAACACTTTCCTCTTCCCCTTGTTCTAGTTGGCCTCATTTCCTTTTGAGTTGTCATTTATTAATTGTCCAGGACCTCTTTCCTGGATAATCCTCTCTTGGGTTAGATCTTCAGATCACCTGGTACTACTACAAAAATACTTCTCTTATTGTATTTTTATTAATTATATACTACCCTTTATTGGCTTAGCCCCTGGGCCTCTGAGGGCAGGAATTCTGTTTGTCTTGTTCATCAGTATATTCTCAGCACCTAGAGCAGTGCCTGGCACAGAAAAAGCACTTTATTTGACTATTTGTTGAATGAATGGATGAATGGATGTATAAACAAGTAGACGAAAGGGAATAACAATAGTTATACACATTTTTTAAAAAGATTTTTTATTTATTTGACACAGAGAGATCACAAGTAGACAGATAGGCAGGCAGAGAGAGAGAGGGAAGCAGGCTCCCTGCTGAGCATAGAGCTTGATTCAGGGCTTGGTCCCAGGACCCCGGGAACACGACCCGAGATGAAGGCAGAGGCTTAACCCACTGAGCCACCCAGGCGCCCCAGTTATACACATTTTACTTTATAGTTCCTTCATTGCCTAGCATAGATCTGGGCTTAAAGAATACTAGTGTGGACATTTAAGTGACAATTCCCTTTGCTAAAATGGCCTGCTTTTTAAATTATAACAGCCTTCCATGCAGACCAGGTATGGAAAATATAGGTAAATTTAAATTAAGTAAATATCTGAGATATAGCCAAATACACCACTGCTTGCATCACCAGCATCCCTGAGAAGTCATCTGACTCGGGGATGCTCAGTAAGACCTGAATAGCTGTGTTTGTATACTTTCTCGAAGCTGGAAAGTACCAGCTCTAAATGACTACCTGAGATCACATGGAATCAACAAAAGACAATCTTCTTCAGGAGAAAGTATACCTGTCACAAAGACACCATTGCCCCGTGTGGACAGCACCATGGCCTGGAAATCCCACAGCTTGGAAGATTATCGGAAGCATGTCCTTTTCTGTGGGACAGACGTTATCCAGGTCAAGCCGTCTGGGCAGGGGCCAGTGAGAGCAGTTGTCTTGCAAACAGGTTGGTAGATTCCACTTTTGTAAATTTAGTTCATGATTAGAGGTGGGGGGATTGGACTGGAACAATTTTGTTTGGGAATATGTAGTTTGCTACATTCTGGTAATAACAGCCATACTCATTTGTAGTCGGACCCTTGTTGTTCTAAGTTGCCACCATTTCCAAATGAATGGTTCGTTGTTAAGCCACGTGTCTATGATGAAGCATATACAGAGATAAAGTAGATTTCCTCAAAGGCAAGACTATGTTATTATAGGTTTGTTTGTTTGTTTTTGTTTTTGTTTTATGTCCGCGTGCTTCTTTTCTTTTCCTTCTATACCAACTCTGAGTGATTACCAAGAAAACAGTTCCAAAATCATTGCTTGAGGACTTTTTCCTTTTAAAGTGCTGCTTGCTAGGATATTATTTCAAGATCCCTGCTGGATACCTCCACTTAGTTTCCCTACAGACACTTCAAAGTCGAGGCATCTAAAGGACTCATCCTCCTCTTTCTGTTGACGGCTTTACCATCTAGCCAGTCCTTCCACATCACCTTTAACTCCTTACTTTCTCCCGAACCAAGTTGATTGGTTCACATCCTGTTGATTCTATAAATACCTCCCAAGTCCTGTCTCTCTCTCCTTCATCCCCACAGTTGGTGTTTTGTCCAGGCCCTTCATCATCTCTTGTCTAACTATTACAAGAGAAATATTTTTTTGACTGTTCGATTTGAGCTTTTGCCTGAAATACTGTCTTGACTTCTGTTCTGTCTATCCCTTGCTCTGTCACCAAGTCATATTTCTAAAACATATTTTGAAGCAGTTTATGCACACCATGCTCAAGAACTTTTCAAAACTATTAATATTATGCCCAATCTTTCATATTACATGATGCAGCCAATACCTTCCATGACCTATCCTAGCTCGCTATATTTACCCGTGATCTTTGTTTCTGCCAGCCCACACAAACACAAATTCAAAAACATACCTTGCACTTCGTTGTCTCAATGCTTTAGTTAGGCTATGATTCAATTGTTCTACCTGTTTTTTTTAATTAAAAATATCAAGTTTTGTTTCAAAGTAGTCAGTAGGCATAAGAACATCTCTCAGCTAGCTGATAAACAGGAGCTAATGGATGGTAATCATGGAAGCACCCTGATCTGAGCTTGTAAAATGCTGAAGCAACAGGTTAGAGAAAGCTCTGTTCCTTTTCTCCAAAGCCTACAAAGCCATGTTTGAGGAGCTAAGCAAGATGTTCACAAGGCATAGGAATTAAGGCATTTCACACTTAACAACAGTGACCTATTTCTAGTAGTCAATTTTTTTTTTTTTTTTGCCAGTAACTTAGATTTTAATGGATACCTACAAAGTGCTATGCCCTGAGGGCTAAAGGAAAAAAAAAAGTGAGATACTCCTTGACCTTAAAGAAGACTGTGGTCTGGGGCAGGAAACAAGTGAATTTATAGCTAACTAAACAAAGAACAGTGATAGATGTCATGTGATTAAGTATTATAGGGACTCCAAAGAAGGGGAGAAATTATTTTTGATATGAAGTTTGATATGAAGTCCCATATTTTGATATGGGAGTAGAATTCAGGAAACATTTTGTTGATGAGGTGACATATTGAGCCACGCCTGATAGAATGGGAAGGATTTAGCCAATCTTATCAAAGAGCTAAAAAGATCCTGATCTGTTTCTGCAAAACACAAGGGAAAGAAGGCGCTGGAGTCATCTGAGAGCAGTGTTAGTTAAAAGTCTAGCAAGATAGTAGTCTACTGGATTGATGGGGCTGGGAATGCTATGCCTAGAAATTTGAACTTTATTATAAAAAATGGAGGCTCTGGAAGGTTTTTGAGCATAAAAATGACACGATGAGAGGCACATATATTTAAGAAATTACTTGTTTTGTGCTTTCCTTTTCTTTTAATTTTCTATTGTTTTCAACACATATTTGAGCTTTAAAGTCTTCTTCTCTCAGCAGCTCCTCTTCTCTGGTGACTGCATCTGTTGGTTCCTTAGTCTTCTTTCCCCCAGTCTTGCACTTGAGTGAGGAGCTGCACTGTGTGAGCCACTGAAACGCTGACTCCCAGAACAAGAGAAACTGAGCAGGGCTAAGGAATGCCATTTATTGTTCCTGGCGATCTTGTAAGAATAATAAATATAAATATACTGTTAGCAATAGTGTTTTCATTCCATATTCAAATGACACTATTAACCAATCCTTCACTCGATGCAAACCATTTTGGGCTTGGGGGAAACTGTATTAAAGGACCTTACTCCACTTGCAATTATCTTCATGTAGGTTACAATACTGCCAAAGGGGACTTGGTAAGATCCATCCTCTACCCTCGGCCTCTGAACTTCAAACTATACAATGATGCCTTCAAGTTCATAGTGTTCCTGGCCTGCCTTGGAGTTGTGGGTTTCTTCTATGCCCTTGGTGCATATATGTACCATGGAGTAAGTATTGGGGGTAAGGTTTTTAATAGCATAGCTTTCTCAAGGAACTTGACCTAACTCAAAAGGATTAGATAAGGTTACCTTTTAGCCCCATCATTCTGTGAGTCAGCACGTCCAACGGAGCTTTCTTAGATGACTAAACTATTCTATACATACACTGTTCAATTTGGTAGCCCTTAACCACATGTGCTTATTGAATGCTTGAACTGTGGCTAGTGTGACTGAGGAAATAAACTTTCAATTTTACTTCATTTTAACTACTTTAATTAATTAAATTTAACTAATTTGATTATTTGATTAATTTTAATTTAAGTACCCATATGTGGTTAGTGAAAATTGTATTGAATGACACAGCTATGAAAAGTTGCAAAGTTCATAGTCCTTTCACCATTTTGATGAGAATGAGAGGTTACTGTGTGTGTGGCATTTGCAATACCCAAGCTTCAGAGGCAATACATGCTTCTCAAGTCTGATAGGATGGATGGAGTCCCCTTGACTAAGGGGACTTAGTCAATCATACCAGAGAGCAGAAAGGGCATACTAATTAGAGTGAGCAAAGGACAAAGCAAGAAATGCAGATGTGTCTTCTGGAACCAGTAAGCAACTGAGACATTAAATCTAGCAAAGTAGAAATAGGTCACATGGAAGGGAATCTTGAATTCCATGCCTAGAAATTTAGGGTTATTTGAGAATGTTGAAATATTTGAGTGTGTACATTGTCCAAGACATACCTGACAGACTATGTAGGCAATGAATTGCTCTGTGTTCTGTTGGGTTCTGAAATGGAATTAAATGTCCACTTTTACAGGGGTGCCTGGGTGGCTCAGTCAGTTCAGGGTCCAACTCTTGATTTCAGCTCAAATCATGATCTCAGTTGTGAGATCAAGCCCTGTCAGGCTCCACACTCAGCTCCTGAGATTCTTTCTCTCCCTCTGTCCTCCCATTTTCTTTCTCCCCACTCACACAGTCTCTCTCTTAAAAAGAATAAAAATTATAAATGTCCACTTTTACAGAACTGTATGCAGCATGGATCCCCACTTTCTTTTAAGCTTCATGGTATCTGGTTTCATTTGAATGTCCCTCTTAATAGTTGTGTTGGTTGGACAGAGAAATAGATGACCTCTGAAGTCCTTTCTGGTCCTGAGAGTCTGATTCTGTGGTGAATTGTGTGGTCCTTTCTGTAAGACATATTAGGATCTTAAGAATGTGGGCTCATAGGGAAGAAGAAAAAATTATGAATAAAAGGATCCAAACATAGATATGAAACTGGCTATGGGTGACCTAATTACAATGCCCAAATTGGTAAACTTCAGTGCATTCTATGTGTGTTATTGGGGAGAAGTATAAATATTGCTGGGGAGTCACAAGAATTTCCAGGCAATGTTCATGCTCACACTTGTGCTTTGGTTAGTCATTTCAGTCTTATATAAGCCCCCAGGGAGTATTTCTAGGTAGGAGAGGGCAAAGGAAGCCATGGTGTAATGGTACCAGTAGAATAGATCCTGAAAAGAGCTCCAGCCAATGGGACTGGAACTTGAGGCAATGTGCCAGTTTTATATGGGGAGCAGGAGTGTTGAGCAAGAAAACAAGTAAAAAGTCCCTGCAGTGTTTGGGAATGAAGATTTCCTGGGTGAGACTCAGCATCCAATATACACCAAAATAATGACACTAATCACAAACCCTGTCTTCTTGGTCATAACCTGGGGCCCTGTTGGCTGCTTCTATCTGTACTAGCTCAGGACTTGACAGGGCTGAGTCCTCAGAGTCAGCACTCCACAGCTGTAATTGGAAAAAGCAGGAGTTGATGGATTTTGTAATAAATTTGAGATTGAACCAATGATGTATTGAGCAGGCATTGTTACTGAACTTGAACCTGAGTTTCCAGGTTCAGAAGAGGACTTTATGGCTAAAATTATGGTTGATTTCATCAAAATCTAAGGTAAAGCCAATAGTATCTAAAGTATTTGAAACATACAACAAACCACCCTGTGATTTGATCTGGGCTCCACTCTCATCAGTCATGTGAATTTCTGCAGACTTGACTGGGATTCTGACTTGATGAGAACTGGCCAAATAATACAACACAATGGTCATGTATTTGTACCCTGGAATGGGATAGACTAGTGTTCAGATCCTCACCATTTAATTAGCAGGTGGATTGAGGAGTTATTTAATTTTTTAAGCTTTGGTTTCCTTATCTGTTAAATAGAAAAAAATAACAGTATTTACAACATAAGGTTGCCATGAGAAATCACTAAATAATGTATGTAGATTAACACAATGCCTGCCCCAGAACATGAGTAGTGAGAGCAAAGTATTTTTACTATTGACCTCCCTATAACAGATAATACATGCTGAGATCTTAGCAGAATCTTGGTCATCATCTTTATCAGGTCACCATTCATTTCTTATATGTGCTGGGTACCTCCTCTATGTCAGAAACTGTGCTAAGGCTCTGTATCTAGAAATGAATAAGATGAACTTGAAAATGACTTCAAAAATGTATAAGCTAAAGCTGCTTCCCCAAAGGAGTTTGGAAGCTTTTGAGAGAGATTTATAACCTAACCATCAAGCCAGTGTGTGAAATGTTACAAATTCAAGGTGGTCTCTGTGCCTGGGGTCCAGACAGTGTGTTATGATGAGCAGAGGAAGGATGGTGCTCTGGGTGGAGAGAATGTGAAGTGAAAAGAAACAGAATCAGCTAAGGGCAGGATGGACATAGAGTAGGGATCAGAGTCCCCTTTTGTTCTCAGTGGGAGACAGCTTGTCTATTCCTTATGCACACCCAAGAGAGCTCTTAGTCCCACCAAGAAAGCCAGATCACTTTGAATACTCTTGTGGTATTATAGGAGATGGGGCCAGAAAGGGTGCCAGCCTGCTCTGCTGAGCTAACCTGTATGTCTTTCCCTCCCCAGGCTTCTTCAAGAGATACCACAACCATGGCCCTGCTCCTCTTCACCGTAACTGTCCCTCCTGTGCTGCCAGCTGCCCTGACTACAGGCATCGTGTATGCACAAAAGAGGCTGAAGAAAAAGAAAATCTTCTGTATCTCCCCACAGAGAATCAATATGTGTGGGCAAATAAACCTCGTGTGCTTTGACAAAGTATGATCTAAACTTTCCAGGTTGGAGGTTAATGATTTCAAGGTACAGCAGAGCTGGAAAAGGACTCCAAGAATGCTTTGCTGACAGCACTCATTTTACAGATGGGAACACTGAAGCCAGAGAAGGTCATACAGTGAGCTAGCATGAGACCATGTTCTAGAAGACCACTCTACTGAGTCCTGAGGAAGTGGTTTAGCTATCACATCATGAATTCCTTTCCTATAAAATTTAATATTTTTGTGCCCATGTTGGATTTTAAAACAGTCTCCTATTATAAAAACTTCTATGACAGACTTGTCAGGCAAAAAATGTTGGGATATTTCTTTTCCTTGAAGTGCTTTGTTTGTCCTGTGCCTCACTGAGTATATCCCCTTCATTTCCTCTGCTTCTTTTTTTTTTGTGTGTGTGTGTGTGTGTGTGTGTGTGTGTGTGTGTTTGTTTTGTTTTGTTTTAATTTTATTTTTTATAAACATATATTTTTATCCCCAGGGGTACAGGTCTGTGAATCGCCAGGTTTACACACTTCACAGCACTCATCATAGCACATACCCTCCCCAATGTCCATA